TCACATTAGAACTATATAATATAATAAAGAAAAAGAGTGTCTAATGATTTGTTTAAAATTTATATAACTTTTTTTTGGCCAACTACCAATCTTTTTTTATTATGTTAACCTGGAAAAAAATATAATTATTAGATTGTTAGCCGAAAAATTTATATAATTCAAAAGTCGTAATACATAAATACATATACAAACACTAAAACTTTGATTCAGAAAAATTTAAAACCTAAAATTCAAAAAACATAAAGAAAAACAAACTAGAAATATTTTTTCTTTCTTTTCATTGTTTTCTGCAAGGATCCAGAACAATAATGAGTTCATCACATAAAAATGAAAGGAAAGAAAGAAGATTTATAGTTTAAAACTATTTTTCTCATACGGAAGTTGATGGGGAAATGGGAGAGGAGTATTGCGGCTCCTGTGGAAAAGAATGTAAATAGGGCTAGGTTTTGGGGATCTTAATTGTCTTCCTTAATTTTATTATTTTATAAATATCTTTTACTTTGTTTTACTTGTATTACAAATTCTATAAATGTAACTAACAATTATGGCTAAAACATTACCTATTATAAATAATGTAAAAAGCAAAATAAAATTACGTAGCACTTTAATTTATATTTAAGCTTACAAGTAAGACTTATTTAATAGTTAATTAGTAAAAGATAGAGAGTTTAGTATAATTATTTACATTATATTTATGCATCAAAATTTGTTTTCCAGAGTTAAATTCAAAGAGTGAGGAATTTCTTAATAAGATTTAGATTTTAATATTAGGTGCAAATGTCGATATTAGCAACTCAATATTTTTGACATTTGTGTTATAACTTTTTAACGTTTTTTACCAAATGTCATTGTTTTTACGATATTTGTATATAATGTTGTTGTTTTTATGACATTTACATCAAATGTCATAATTTTTATGTCATTTTGCCCAAATGTCACTAATTTTATGATATTTTATGTCAAATATCGTTGTTTATACGACATTTTATGGTAAATGTCATTGTTTATACAACATTTTATGGTAAATGTCGTTGTTTTTATGACATTTAAATAAAATATCATTATTTTTGTGACATTTTTTCATAATTGTCAAGAAAATCTCTATTTCTTGACATTTTTTTCAAATGTCACTAAATAAATGTCGTCATATCTCTACTTTCTTGTAGTGGCCCTATGCTCAATCTGAAACAGACTATGAGAAGGTGGTGGTCATCAGAAGGTAACTATAGAATTCAAGTAGTTTATCAGGTTATCCTCATTGTCGTTTTATGGTGCTTATGGAAGAGAAGGAACACTATTTTACATAGAGGTTTATTCTCAGAAAGGAAGGTTATTCTGGGAGATTAATGACACTATTTTGAAGGTGATTAAAACTAGGTTCAAAAGTGATATTGGGAGGAATGACGGGCCTGCTATCATTATGGAGCTTCAAAGGCATAGAAATACTTACAACATCAATATTGTGAGATGGATCCCTCCTCCTTCTAATTGGTTGAAATGCAATACTGATGGAGCATCCCGGGGTAACCCAGGACCTAGCTTTGTTGCGTTTTGCATCAGAGATCACTCTGGTAGCTTGGTTGTGGCTAAAGGTTTCAAATTACAAGATACCACTAATTTGGTAACTGAAGCAAGAGCTATTAGAAAGGGGTTGGCTTTTTGTAAGGAGCATTCTTTATCACATGTCATTATTGAAACAGATTCTATGGCCATGGTACAGATTCTGGAAGTGAGATAGGATATCCCTTGGAGTGTGTCTTTGGAGATTACTTCCATAAACTGTTTGAGGAGTTTTGTAATCGCAAGAGTACAACACTCATTTCGGGAAGGAAATACTCTTGCAGATTATTTTGCTAACCTAGTTTTTGATTTTGCAGGTGATTATCAATTTAATAACGGTCAAGACATTCCTATGGAAGGACTGAGAATTCTAAACTTGGACAAAAGCGGAACTCCTCAAATAAGAAGAAGACAAACAAATTGAAATGCGATACAGTTAAACAAATGGATATATCATATAGTTAAACAACCTTATGCAGGTTACTGTCCATGGTACATACAATTTGAAGTCGGCTGTTAGTATCTTAATTCTTTAACTATTGACTGAAGTAATTTCATATTGGTTTGAGTATATGCACCTGGTGAGAGCTTTAAGGTGTTCAACTAATACCAAATCAGGTCATTGGTTTTGAAGGAGGGAAATCAGTTGGCTCCTTTGTCTCTCTATAATCTGCAAAAACTATCTTTTATTTTAGTTATTAAAAATTATGTCTTTCTTTCTCTAATCTTGACCTTAGATGGTGGTATCAATCTGTGTTGAGATTCAACCCATTGAGATATAGAGAGGGGAAATAATCATGATTTATAATAGTAAGATAAGTGTACTTAGCTTAGTCGATGGCAGACATCTCAATAGCATGGACTATAATTAAAGATTGATCCATTCACTTTGAGTTAGAGGTGATGAAATATGATAAATGTGGGCAGCCATGGATGTTGAAGAATCATAGTTGATGATCTTCAAATGCTAGATGAAATTTTCCGAGCTATGATTGAGCTCAACGTAGATGGCTGTCGATTGGTGTTGTTATGGCTGGAAAATTCATCAAGGAGTGTATAGATCTGGAGTGGGAAGGCTGAAATCCTTGTCTCTGCAGATTTCTAAATGTGTGTCTGTTCATTTCTTTCTTTTTTGATCTATTTTCTTTTGTTTTTTTTGTTGTTTCCTTTTGCATCTTTTTATTTTTGTTTGGACCGGATGTCTTTTTGTTTTCTTATTAGTCAATAAATGGGCCTTTGTGCCCTCATTTAATTATTTTTTTTAAAAAAAAAAGTCCAACAACTACACTTTATTTTTTTTAGTTATGACATTTTAATTATAATTGATTAGGTTAAATTCAATTAGAGTAGAAGATAAAATAATGTATGAAACTCTTCCACTCTTTGAATTTTAAAACCAAAATAAAATTTATGTATCCTTATTCAATGTGCTCCATTAATAAATTTTGGTAGCTGAAAAGACAGTCAAATATCACTATAAATACCAGTAAATTGCTTCCTAGATCATCATATTCTTTTCTTTTCTATCATCTACTTTTATATTTTCTTCTTCCTAGATAATGATGTAGATACATGTCGCCAAGAAGCTAACTGAGGAGAAGAACAGATAGCTTCAATCTGAAATTAAAAAGAGTAGCTTTCTTACAATATAGTTCAAGTGTTAAGCTTAGAAATAAAAGATATGACCTATATATTCCATTAGATTGTTTTTTTATGTTAGCTTATGACTTTAAATTTTTCTTTTCCATTTTGGAGTAAAGGTATGGTTGTCCAAAAAAATAATTGGTATGCAATCCATATGTTTATGTAATTATGTATCATTTTGTATTGTTATGAAAATTTTTTCTTTGTTTTTGTGTTATATTCTTTTAAGTGCTACTTAATTGACAAAACTTCTATTAATAGAGTTTGATAATACTTGAATAGTTTATGCAATATGCTTTTGTTTAAATACAAGTAATTTAAATAAAGATTTCTAAAAGATTATTACTTTGAATGAAAGATTTTGACTGTGTTACTTTTTCGTCTAACATAGTGTTGCGAACACATGCATATATTGTTCATTTTCACATACATATATTGTTCATTTTCACCCCTTTTGTTTCATTTTTTTTATTTTTCTATAATTTATACAATATGAGATTTAACAATTTAATTTTCAAATAAAAATGAGAGTTACATTTACATTTATGCGACACTAAGCCTAATAGTTTTCTTAAACATAATCATTCTATATTAACGGTAACTTTTCGTAGTGTTAAAATTCAATTCGTTGGTATGATGACAATTTTGCTTTTAGACATTTTGATTGTTTCTTTATGAGTTCCTTCGACCCTTAATTGTTAGTACTAAAAACTATTCCTCAAATTAAAATCATGTAAAAAATATTATGAGAATGGAGCAATTAAGCTTCGTTTTGTTTAGATTTTAGTAATATAAGTCAACAAGATCATTCTATTAAAAGTGGAAAGAGTCTAAGTCAAAAGTTGAATTACTAAAATGTTCTTTAAAAGTATATTTATCATTTTATTTTTTTAATAAAAATTAATTGTCTACTAAATTTAATTGGAAAGAAATTTCATCTACCTTTAGACCTGTACAAATTCTATGAACTTTTTATTTATAAGTTTAATATGTGTCATGTATTTATTTTCTTCACTTTGAGCTTCCAACCATTTAAACATATCATATTCTTTATCAAATTATATATACCTTTATTCAATATATATATATATATAAAATATGTCGTAGGTGAAGTTACACATTAAAATTCTCCTTTTATAGGTCTTAATCAAATTCACACAAAAAATAAATTAAAAATACACATGACACTAGAAACATAATTACACCAAAGGTATTTTTAGTTGGTTGGGAGGTAATATAAATATATGTTTCTATTTCTTTACTCCTTTTTGCTTGAGTGTTGGTATTTAAAAATCTATGTTTTGCCAAATCAATAGGTAAAGAAGATATTGTACATTATACCAAAAAAAACAAGGTCTAGTAAGGATTTCTTTGGAGAAGTATTTCTTCCTTTAAGAGAGTTTGCCAAGTAGGATTAAGATATAACTTTAAGAATGTGCACTTCTTCTTTAGTATATAATTTATAACTCAAACATGTTTCTTAATACTAATATTTATGTAATTTTTTAAAATTTTGTGGTCAATAAAATTAGGTTACATCACCATAACTTTCTTTCTGCTCATCCTCCAATTCCTTGTCTGCAACTGTAAGTGATTTTCCATTGAAATAAAACAAAGTCACTTTTTGAGTGACACATATATTTTTCTCTTATATAGAAGAGACAATTTTCAAATTTTCAACATGTCTGCTTCCTGTCAATTAATTTTAAAATATGGGTATTATGGTCATTTTTCCATCAAACTAAAGTAAATACTCATGTGTCTTACATCTAATTTAGAGTAGACAAGTAGCATTTATCTGGTACAACAACACCACTACACCGCTCTTTCTTTTCCTTATCTCAATTTAAGAGGGTTTCACGGCATTAAGAACCATTACAGCTTCAACAACGATTTCTCCTTTGTAAATTTCTGATTTTCTTCTTCCAATTTGGGATTTCCTCTTTCCCATCACTCTTTTTGGACGAGCCTGAAGATTTTGTTCAAGCTTTCTATTCCAGCCGATCTATCTATACTTTGTGAGTTTTCTTTTTCCATTTCTACTCGATATTGTTTCTCCGGCGGATTTTATTAGTAGTAACTTCGACTTTTCTTTCCATAATATTTGATGCAATTTTTGTTTCTTCTGGGGATTTCGGAAGGAAAGGATTGTTCTGAGCTTAAACTGGTTATACACACACATGCACTGAACTTTTTGCTTCAACTGTTAGTTTACTTGTAATTTTGGATCTGTAGTGTTGGTCGTGGATTCTAAACGAACTCCTAAGCTTCAGCTCTTACATTTCACGTATGCGAAATCATCAAGAAATTGAATTTTATGTCTTCAGTAATCAGCCTCTATGTCGTGGTTCTCTCTGATTAACATAAATAGGAAGTGGATTAATAGATTAGCATGTGAGTGATGAATATAATATAAACATTATGCTGCCAGTAAATTCTCCATTTCCAAAACAGAGAAGGTAAGGATTTATCAAATTCAAGTTCTAAAAAATCTTAGTATTTCTTATAGATCTTATAGGTAAAGATTTTATGGTTAGAATAAACACTAAAAGAAAATAAGGATTAAAGATTTGAAAAAAGATAACCTGAGAAGGAAAAGTTACTGCACACAAATGTCAAAAAGATTCAACCTTTCACCCCAAATGTCAAAATTTCAATCTTTTCCAGAGGCCACAAAAGGTTATAAAAAAAAAGGTGAATCAAAGATAGAGGAAAAACACACTGATAAAATTTGAATCTTTGCACTACTTAGTGGAACAAACAGATAAAGTAGAAGAGTTCTAACAAAGTCGTAGATTTTGTCGATACAAGAATTGTTTTCTAAGTAACCCCATAGGCAAAACAAAGCATTATCACTTGAAAATCAAAGCTACAAAAAATTGGATTTGGCAAGCAACAATATTGTTGGTAGTAGACATTTTCTTCGTGCTAACACAAGTAAGGTTTTCCGCTTAGATAACAATTTCTTTGCTAACGTATTACTATATAAGATTAGAGATGAAGTGAGCGGATTATTGCCTTTATCAATTGCTAATTAGAGTATTGCCAGAAGAACCAAACAACTGTTGCAACACAAACTTGATCTCTGCTCTGATATCTCCATAATTAAATAAGAGTATCTTATCATTTATTGTCTCTGTTTGACATCAAACAAAAGAACATTAGCAACTCTAGCATTGTTAATTCAAAAGGTTATTAAAGTAAACAAGACAGAGTAGCAAAAAGTGATAAATCTATCTCCCTATTATAGCTAAAGGTGAGCCTCTCAAGGTTAACCAACTTTAAGGACATGACATACTTTCAGCTAACCAAGCATATGAACTTAAATAACAGGTTATGGAAGACTCAGATTATGATAAAAGATTAGTCAGGTAGTTGAATGTTGTTTCACTTATTTTTTTGTACCAGTTATCATAATACTACTACGTAGTTTCTTGTTATTTAATTTTCCTATACTTTGATTATTGCCTTATTTTGTTGTAGTTATTGTTACATTTTACGAACATACAAGTTCTCACTTGCTTTTTCTTTCTTCTATATATGTTATTGTAGTAATAGTAGTAATCTATTTGACTATTTTTGCAGCATTATATTCTGGCTAATGTGGCTATGAATGAAAGAATTATCAATTTGGAATTGTGAAAAACTGCAGGTACTTAATCTTTGATTTGTACGCCTAATTAACACTACTGTAAGATTATCTTATCAATTTTTTTCCCCGGTGTGTCTTAAAGGTCAAGAAGATTATAGGAGGTCATTTGGCTAGCTGTAGAGTTCAAACAGGTATTTTCACCATAATTCACTTACTTAATTGCTTTATCTGATTTAAATTCCCGGCTTCTAAAGGCCATGGGCAAGAACTTTCCAATACCATCTGTAGATTATACGTTCTACTACATTATAGAAGCCTTGGCATAACAGGTAAAGTTATTGCTATGTAATCAGGAAGTCAAAATTTGAGCCGTAAAAACAATCTCCTACAAAAAGAATCGACTCCGTTAAAGTAGTTCATGCGGATGTGTATATGGTGAGTGTGAAATGTTGTTTTCATTTCATGAAATTTGCAAGGAAAACGGAGTTTTTTTGGTGATTTTTTCCCCAGTTGATGGATTAGAGGCTTTATGTTTTTTGAAGTATGAATAAAAGTTTTAGGGCAGAGGAATCGGCGTAAAGGAAACTGTAACAACAAATGGCGATAAATTTGATGCTCTGCTTGGTGAGAAAAATAATTTTCCTTTTCAATTGATGTTCTCCTGTTTCATATATTGTCTTCATTATTAGTTTCTAATTGAGATTACAGTGCAATCTTGCGTTTGCTTTGATATAATTAGATGATTTAAGATGCTGTAGCTCCACTACATTATTATTATCTCTATGGTTTTTGCTTTTCCTTTGCTATTTTTGAATGACACTTTAAGTTAAATCCACAGGAAAATGCTGGTGGTAATCTCTTCTCTTTTCATCAAAAATTTGGAACACGAAGAGCTATCATCTAGGCAGAGAAACAAATACACAGAAGAAAGACACACAGGAAGATGGGAGTTAACACAGACCTGTTTTCCCTCAAATAGCCTAATCTCACTTTTACGTGCGTCAGTTTTTCATTAGTTGTACACTAAAAGAATTTCACTATACCTTCGTTTTCCTCCAGCTTTGCTCCTTTATAGCCATTTCGCGTATCTATAACAACTACATCAACTATTACTATTAGTACGGGCCTCACCTATCTAGTATAAAAACAATATAAAGTGCAACAATTACTCATTTGGAAATTAAGTAATAGAGATCGATATAGCTGTACCGCTTCCAACAACTGATTGATTAAAAGCAGCATATGTATATAATATTGTAAGTGGGAAGCCTCCAAGTCAAAAGTTAAATTACTAAAATGTCCTTATAATGTCATAATATTGATGAACAAAAATGTAAATATACATTAATTATTAAAAATACTATCATATTCTACTAAACACTATTCTTATATATATATATATATAAATACATAATAATAATAAGGGAAAATGCATAAGTACCCCCAGCCTATGCCCAAAATCTCTGAGACACACCTAACCTTTACTAAGGTCCTATTACGCCCCGAACTTATTTTATATATAATTTTCTACCCCTTTTTGGCCTACGTGGCACTATCCTTGAAAAAATTGTCAACACGCGCTGGGCCTACAAGATAGTTCCACGTAGGCCAAAAAGGGGTAGAAAATTATATATAAAATAAGTTCGGGGCGTAATAGGACCTTAGTAAAGGTTAGGTGTGTCTCTAAGATTTCGGGCATAGGTTGGGGGTACTTATGCATTTTCCCTAATAATAATAATATTCTAAAATGGAAAACCGCATAATATTACTTCAAGTTTTCGGAAATTAAAACACAACTTATGACATGAATTAATATATTCCTGAGCGAATCTCAACAATTACTAAATACAATGAATATTTGTACTATTAAATAAAAAAAGAAAATTGTAACATCTCGCAAATTGAAAGAACTAGAAGAGCCAGAATTAGAAAGAGTGATTTTTGGAAATAATAAAAATCTGGAAAATTGGTTAAGTTAAGTTTGAGTTTTTGGTCAA